CCCCAGACCCTGTTCCCTTCCCGGCACTTCCCCCAGACCCTGTTCCCTTCCCGGCACTCCCCCCAGACCCTGTTCCTTTCCCGGCACCCCACCAGACCCTGTTTTGTAACCGGACAGTATAAATATCTCAGATGAAACCCTCGGTGGCACGGCCCCTGGGATGCACGCCTGGGGTCCGTCGCCGGCCGGCTCAAATAAACGCGCTCTCAATTAAAGTCAATTGGGTGTGATGCTCTGATTTCTCTCGGGCGTCCAGTTCAAGATTAAAATATATTGTACATTCTAGAGCTTTTAAAATATATACAAAGCTACCTTGTGAAGTTATTTTTAAAATTTTGTTGTGTTTTTAAATTAAAATTGACATTTTATCATAGTTCCTAAGAATATTGAAAAAACAAAATTCACTTTATATGTATGTGTGTATTTGTTTACAAATTTCAACAAGTGTGAAAGAATTAGAAAACTTCAGGAACTTTTTGAATATTCATTGAAAAGAATGGATAATTTTGAATTGTGCTTATTTTGCTGAAAATAGTAGAAGTTTCTTCATATAGAATAATAGCAATGGAAGTCTGCTAAGGCTGACATTCATATAAAGTTATATTTTGTAAGAGGAGAACTAGATTGCTGTGATAAATTATTTTACTTTGTTAAACTGAAATGTGGGTAAAAGTTTTTGTTCTGATATTATAATGTAAAATTAAAAGCTTACTCTTGATTAAAATCTAGAATGTGAATTTCCACAGAGTAAAACTTAGGTTAGGCTTTGATTAACTTATTTTGGAGCTACTTGGAATAATGTCTAATGCAGTCAGTGAGCTAATTAAATTTTTTTTGGGGGGGCTAGGCAATGGGGTTAAGTGACTTGCCCAGGGTCACACAGCTAGTAAGTGATATGTGTTTGAGGCTGGATTTGAACTCAGGTCCTCCTGAAACCAGGGCCAGTGCTCTATCCACTGTGCCACCTAGCTGCCCCTAGAAGCACTACTATGTCCCAGGGACTGTGCTAAGCACTGAAGATACAAAGAAAGACAAAAACAAAACAAAAAAGAAGCAGTCCCTAATCTCAAGGAGCTCACAAGTCTAATGAGGGAGACAACATGCAAATGACTATGTATGAGCATGATATATACAGGATAAATTGAGGATGGTTTGAAAGGAAAAGAACTAAGGTTAAAGAGTACTGAAGGTTTCTTGCAAAAGGTCAGACTTTAACTGAAACCTGTAAGAAGTCAACATGGCAAAAAGGCCAGAGGACAGAGGAGTCATGGGGGACAGACAATTGGAAAAACCCTATTCTCTGGAAATGGAATGTTGTGTATGAGAAACAGCTAATAGGCCATTGTCACTGGATTACAGAGTACACTGAGGGTATTAAGGTATAAGAAGACTGGAAAATATGGCCCGGAAACTTAAGCATAATTCATACTTATATTTTTCAATATACTTTTCCATAGATAAGGAAGACTTTTAATATTGTATTATATGGAGTGATATATTTGATTATTTCTTTTTTTTTTCCCCAGAATTGAAGCTTCTTTGATCAGGGCAACCTTTCTCAATGCAATCGTTAATGAGTCTTGTAACTGTTGTAGAAACTAGTGTTTGACAATTTAGAAACTTATTAATGGTACCTATGAAATGAAAACAAAGGACTTCTTCCTATCAAGTCTCTTTGTACTATATTATAAAGTAATGCAAATAAATAAAACATGCTATACAATGATGGGATTTTTAGTTTAATAATCAGGGAATAATTAAAATATTATCCAAACACTTACCAGGTATTTGAAGCACTCAAGTGATTTTCTTCTGATATCAAGTATCAAAATATGGTTTTGCATATAATTTACCATATGTATTCAATTGTATTTTCAGTTCCCTAATCCTTTAAATTCAATAGTTTGTATTTCAGGGAAACTTCATCTGTATTTACCACCCCTCCCCCTCCACCAAATGCTGAGCAAGTCATATCTCTGCAAAGAGCACAAAACCACTTTTATTTTATCAGTAGTGCTTTGTTACATTTTAGTGAAATAACAAATAATACTTTCATTGGCCACAGCCATACTTCTGCAATCAGCTTGCAAATGATTAACAGTGTTTCTCAGCAATGTAAACAAAAAAAAAAAAGAAAGGAAGGAAGGAATGAAGGAAAGAAGGAAGGAAAGAAAAAGAAGGAAAGGAAGGAAGAAAGAATAAATAGAAAGCTATGCATATAAAAGCCAATTTTGAGCAACAAATGACATCAGTAAAACTACAACCAGCCAAAATGAGTGGTCAGAATTCCAAAATTAATAGCCCTCCATTAAAAAAAATTGTAAAAACTGGTACTGTTAGTCACATAGAATTTTATGCTTATAACAAGACTCATTTCCCAAATTCATGAATCAAAAGAAAGGTCTAAAATTGTCATGTGTTTCAGTGCAAAATGAATAATAACCTACTAGCCCTCTGCTCTTTTGCAAACACTCTCTCTCTTCCTAACTATAATGAAAGTGCTCTCAGTGCTTTGGGATTCTTTAGCAAAAATCAAGCCAGAAGCTTAGATAGTTTATTTTATCTTTGGGTTTTTTTTTTTTGGAGGGAGGGTGTGTACAGGAAAAAACAATTAGATAAGAGTTCAGGTCTACTAGTTGGTGAAAAAAACAAGTTTCTGAAACAATTTGGGCAAGTCAAACTAAAGTAGCAGTTGGCTGAAGAGCCAAGGTATTTAATACCAAAAATATCTTTCTTTTTAAAAAGTCTTTTAATGTTTTCCTGGTAAAATGGCCTTATCTTGGGAAATCTAAACAGAATGAATTTACTCTTAGACCAGGGAATGAACAAATGACAAATATTTTTAGTCAATGGTGGATGGATTATAATATAGCTTAAATTAGCTACATTTTAAAAAGAAGTATTCCAAAAATTTGTGTTGACAAAATACTTTATATGCAAATGTTAAATTGCTACATGTTTTATATTGCAGAAATTAGTTAATGGAAGATTTTGAAGCACAAACATTTCTATCATTGGAGTTTCTAAACACTAAATAGACTTTTTAATTATAGCTACAGTTTTTATACCTATGTTTGAATTATAAATCATATCTGCACCATAAGAAGTTTATTTAGCTATGTATGAGCAGCCTACTCAACAATTTAAAACAAAAACTTCATTTTCCTTTTGGTTAAACATCCGGTAACATTACTATTTTAGTGAGGTTATTGCATCAATATTAACTAAAATGCCTTTCAATTTTTAATGAAATTAAATTGAACTTCCCAGACAGTACTGGAGAGGAAAAGCATTCCAATGCATTAATGTTAGTTTCTTTTTCTTTTTTAAGGCAACAGAAAGCAGTTGATAGCTTTTAATATGTAGTGGCAATTATCCCAATCTAAATTGCTGGATATCTTCTAGTACCTACTGTTATTGTTGTTGTTTCCCCTATAGATATGCTTTTAAAAAGTACATTTAAAAATTCTACTATAAAATTAACATATCCTATCAATTTTTTTTTAAATTTAGGAGAGGGCATGAAGAAAATGAAATTTAGTTTAAAAAATAATGCATCTTCTTAAACATCGCTAGCCACTTTTAAAAATCCAATGCATTTACTGTACATACACTTGTTTATTATCTCAATGCTTGACATCGCACATATAGAAGATATATAAAAATCTGAACACCATATACTAAAAATTTGAAGCAATACATGTTCTGAAGTACTGCACTTATGTTTACCATGCTAATCAATCATGATTTCATATACATGAAGATAATCCCATTACTGATAATTAGTTCCTCTGATTACATTAATCCAAGATAATTGTTTCAAAAGTTATTGTAGCACTAACCTATAACATTTTAAAAAAAAACTAAACAATTAGAATTGTTTATTTCGTGAACTACATCTATGAACTTCTTTGGCTCCAAGAATTTCTACCATTCTTAAGTTCAAATTCACTATTCCTTTTCTGAAGAAACTAGCTTTCAAGTACTCCATATAGAATGAAATCATGTTACTGCAAAAGGATCTCTTGACCAAGAACTCTAGTCAGAGTATTAATTAGCTAGTTTTGCCTAATAAGAATTGACAATGACCTTTTATTAACTATGCTAGTCACCACAGTATTAAAGTTACTATGACAATTATAAACACTTTCAAGAAAATTTTGGTTAGTGTTTTAGAATTCATTTTTAAAAGACTATTTGTTTAGAAACAATACTTCTAGTATGTATTTTTAAAGTTTTGAACTATTATGCTTGAATTCAATTTATGTCCTAATTAATTTTGCAGTTCCATACAGAGAACATCACTGAATACATAATATTTGCTTTTGATATAAAAATTGTCCAAGGACTTGTTGATAGGTACTGCTGCCAATTATACTTATCAACATGCAGAGACATTTTAATAACCAGTTTATTATATGTTTGGAGCAAAGACCCATGGTTCACAAAAATCAATGGGCCATGAATAGCATTTTCAGAAACCTTTTATAGGTTTTAGTTACAAGGCAGGATAATTATAGTGGAGTTTTGCAGAGGGCAAAAGAAGAAGGTAAAGATTTACACTTCAAAAAATGGATAGCAGGAAGGAAAGATATATATCAAATAAAACAGGAAACTAGCCAGGAAACACTGGAACTATAGCTGATATGACAATCTGGAACTTTGAAGAAAGAAAGAAAGAAAGAAAGAAAGAAAGAAAGAAAGAAAGAAA